GGCAGCAAGCTTAGTTATTCTTCCACTTTCATCGACTGTCAACCCTGGCAGCAAGATAAGTTATTCTTCCACTTTCATTGAAAGTTAACTCTGGCAGCAAGCTTAGTTATTCTTCCACTTTCATTGACTGTCAACTCTGGCAGCAAGCTTAGTTATTCTTCCACTTTCATCGACTGTCAACTCTGGCAGCAAGCTTAGTTATTCTTCCACTTTCATTAAAAGTTAACTCTGGCGGCAAGCTTAGTTATTCTTAAACTTTCATTGAAAGTTAACTCTGGCGGCAAGCTTAGTTATTCTTCCACTTTCATTGAAAGTTAACTCTGGCGGCAAGCTTAGTTATTCTTCCACTTTCATTGAAAGTTAACTCTGGCGACAAGCTTAGTTATTCTTCCACTTTTATTGGAAGTTAACTCTGGCGGCAAGCTTAGTTATTCTTCCACTTTCATTGAAAGTTAACTCTGGCGACAAGCTTAGTTATTCTTCCACTTTCAATGAAAGTTAACTCTGGCGACAAGCTTAGTTATTCTTCCACTTTCAATGAAAGTTAACTCTGGCGGCAAGCTTAGTTATTCTTCCACTGTCATGGACTGTCAACTGCAGTTTAGCATTTTTGTTGTTGAGTGAACTCTATGAGCAATTGGCAGGATGCCTTGCCAATTGGGTTGTTTGGGGGATGGCCTTCTAAGGGCTAATCATTCTAGATGTATACTGCTGGGCTCACGAGCTGGCAATCACAACAATTTTACACGTTAGATTCAGTGTATCGGTTTGTAATATAAGTAATTGTAGCTCTGTGACTTCAAGTACGACATGGACTGTGCGTATATTATAGACTGCATACAGTCGTGGGACCTAAACTGCATACAGTCGTTGGACCTAGACTGCATACAGTCATGGGACCTAGGCTGCATACAGTCATGGGACATAGGCTGCATACAGTCATGGGACCTAGGCTGCACACAGTCGTGGGACCTAGACTTCATACAGTCGTGTGACCTAGGCTGCATACAGTCGTGTGACCTAGACTGCATACAGTCGTGGGACCTAGACTGCATACATTCGTGGGACCTAGGCTGCATACAGTCGTGGGACCTAGGCTGCATACAGTCGTGGGACCTAGGCTGCACACAGTCGTGGGACCTAGACTGCATACAGTCTTGTGACCTAGGCTGCATACAGTCGTGGGACCTAGACTGCATACAGTCGTGGGACCTAGGCTGCATACAGTCGCGGGACCTAGGCTGCATACAGTCGCGGGACCTAGGCTGCTTACAGTCGTGGGACCTAGGCTGCATACAGTCATGGGACCTAGGCTGCACACAATCATGGGACCTAGGCTGCACACAGTCATGGGACCTAGGCTGCATACAGTCGCGGGACCTAGGCTGCATACAGTCGTGGGACCTAGGCTGCACACAGTCAAGGGACCTAGGCTGCACACAGTCATGGGACCTAGGCTGCATACAGTCATGGGACCTAGGCTGCAGACAGTCATGGGACCTAGGCTGCACACAGTCATGGGACCTAGGCTGCATACAGTCGCGGGACCTAGGCTGCATACAGTCGCGGGACCTAGGCAGCACTCTCTAGTGGGACGTAGGTTGGTTGGAGTTACGGCCAGTTCTAGATGTTTTGGGGTCGTTAAAAGCGCTAACAAGAGAGCTAAGACGTTTGCGTGAACCAACTGAGAAGTGTGAATCTGCAACTATGGTCAGACTGCAAGAACAACATGTTAAACGGGGTGTCGCTAAACAAAAACACTACTCGGGTAGCCAAAGAAGAAGAATAAACCAACAGAGAACTGGTGTCGTTAGCCGCTACACGCTGCGGAATTTACTGAGGAGGGGATCCGAGCACTTAAGGACTGAGGATAATCTGTCGACTAACTAACTTAATCGCTCACATTGTGGAATATAGAACACACGGTATCGCCGGCAGCTGACAACAACGAGTAAAAGACAACGTTTTTCTAGATGTTCACTGGTTTTGTTTAGCGATAGCACCATCGAAAGATGTCATGATGTTGCAGGAAAGCAACGCTGCTTTTCTTGTCACGTACCAATGCTCTTAATTCAAGGACATTCATGCCGAAGATCGAACACACGCCGCTGGAGAAACGCCGACGCCGGAAAAAACGCGCGAAAACCTTGGACTTGGGTGAACTACAGAAAATACGGAAAACCCGCTCTTACCACCCCTTTAGATACCGGACAGTCCCGTGACGTCATCTGCGGTCTGCCAAAAAGAAAAGAACCAAAAATAATGTATTGCCAGCCAAGATAAAAAAAAAAATATTTTAGTTAGTTTTCGTTAACATACACATGTGGTCAAAAACACAACACACACATACACAATCACATGTGAAGCTGCCGCTTTGTACGAACATGGTCAGAAAGTCTGCACTAAAACACATTTAGCAGTAGCATTAACGATTATGATCACATTAACGATCATGATAACCTTAACGATTATAATGATATTTATATTAATTGCATTGTAAGTGTCAATACACCTGGCTCAAACAAAAGGTTGCATTATGACCTAAGCAATAGGAACTGACAATAAAAACCATCAAGTGAGAACACACTAAGTAACTTTATTTAAGCAAACATACACAGTTGATTAAGTTAGATAAACAGTTTTGTGCACATTATCTCTACAGTACTGTGCAGCGTCATTCGCTTCCTGTAGTTTTGATATACTCGAGAGTACGCTACGTGTTCACTAGTCAGGAAGGAATATCATTAATCATGTTTTGGGACATATCGGTTCCACAGTGTTTTCCCATTATGCTTTTTTTTTATAGTTTCCCTGCACTTAAAAAGTGATGGTGTCAGTACCACGCAGACGGCGTTTGCATCATAGAAAATTGCCTTAAGATCATTTTATGCCAGGTTAACACGAATTTCATGATAATAATTAAAAAAAAAAAAAAAAACCAGCAAATCCTGACATTTGGATGCTCATAGTTCTGGTAACACAATAGTAGTCGGATTATTTCCTTCTTACATCAGCCATCTTAGAGTAAGACTTATTTCCATAGGCAAGCATTCCTAAATGCTGTTTCATCTGTTATCGTAATTTAAACCTAATATTTCTCACAGATAGGCTTCAGAGTATCTCATTTGTCAGCGGTCAATGCTGCAATTACTGACTCTCTTGGAGTCAACAAATATGATAGCTCTGCCTCGTTGACACAAACATTTGAGAGAGATCAGCCACAGACCAGCTCCACTGGAGTCAGACAGTCACAGACAAAATATCACAGTTTGCAAGAGGCTAAACGCAAGCTACACAATGGAGAAGTCAGAGTGAAAAACCTAGTCCTGTCACAACTGCTTTCTCCCCCTCCTCGAATAAATTGTTTTAGTAAAAATACATAAAATATGAGAAAAACCAGCATCATAATAATAGAGTACCAACGTTGTTTTTTAAATGGACTATGCGGCAGAGACTGCCACTCCCGCATTCGTTTTACAGTCACGGCAGACATTGTTCTCAAAACGGCATTAGCTCTATCGTCTCCAGGGACTGACGGTTGCCAACCTGGCATATCTAATTCCGGTGTACAGTTGTCCCACCAGTTTGATTACTTCCTGAATATATGTGCCCCACTGGTACATCTACTATCTGAGTATATCTTTCACACTGTTATATCTCTCCTGTGTGTGTATGTATATCCCACCGGCACTTCTATTTTCTGTGCATATCTGTCCCACTGATAAATTTACTTCTTGCATATATATGTCCTCCTGGTACATTTACTATTTGTATATGTGTCTCACTGGTATATCTACTTAGTATGTGTGTCTGTATATATATATATATATATATATATATATATATATATATATATATATATATATATATATATCCCACTCGTGTATCTACCGAGAAAACTGTTCTGCGGGTATCTACATCCTGCACGTGTATATCCGACTGGTATATCCACTTCTTGTGTATATATGTCCTACAAGTCTGTCTACTTCCTGTGTATATCTCTCTCACTGATACATCTAATTCGTGTGTATATCTGTCTCCCTGGCATATCTACTCAGTGTGTTTATGTGTCCTATTGGTGTATCTAACTCCTGTGTATATAGGTTCTACGGTTAATTACTTTCTGCACTTGTGTGTCCCTCTTATGTATCTACTTCCTGTGTGTGTATCTATCTCACTGGTATACCTTTTATCTATCTAGATGACTATTTGCCACTTTGATACATCTACTGCATGTACCTCTCTAGACCAAGGTATATCAACTTTCCGTGTGTCTTTCTGGTAGGTCTATTTTATTTGATTATCTACCTCACTTCTATATTCATTTAATGGTTTACCTTCTTAGCTCCCTTGAGTGGAATCGGTTCGTCCTGTGAAAGGAAAGTCACCAGAGCTATGTGAATCAAAATTGGCTAACACACGAATCATATTTAAATATTTGTGGTGCTACACAGAGAGATGGTTATCAATGTCACGTTATCATAACTGTATACTGCCATAGATATAATTATTAAACACCTTGGGTGCTACACAGAGAGATGGTTATCAATGTCACGTTATCATAACTGTATACTGCCATAGATATAATTATCAAACACCTTGGGTGCTACATCATCATCATCATCCCGTAACACTGAATGTCGTTGAGTCATCAGTTGCTATTGACTGTCCGGACAGTTTCCTCCACATTTGACTGCCAGATGCGATGGACTTTATGGTTGCATGCATAAGGCCTGTCCAGTCAGTTAAGTTCTGTATCCAGGTCTTTCTTGGTCTGCCTCTTCTCCTCACCCTTCTTCTGAGCCCTGCAGTATTGTTTTTGAGAGGCAGTGAGTTTTTATTACGTGTCCGCACCACTGTATTTTCCGCCTTTTCCCTGAAGTTAAAAAATTTACTGCATAGAAACAAATTCATCAAACATCTTGGGTAAACTCCATACAGGTCTCCCTGGATTCCGACCAACACCTCCATGGAAGGTTTCAATTGAAAGAGCACTAAACCCGTAGTGGGTAACAAGGAGTGGGTCTCTGATGATCTTGTTGTCTACTTCCCACTGTGTTGCACAAAGTCGTGGAGCAGTTCAGCTCTAGACGAATATCAATCAGGGAACTCACTTTAGCATTCTTTAAGAGAAGAATTAAAGAACAACAAAGCACCAGGCAAAGACGAACTGCCAGCAGAACTTCTCAAAGTAGATTCCAACACAACTGCTTGCATTCTAGAACCATTGTTCTAGGATATTTGGGAAAAAGAAGTGTTGCCTGATGACTGGACTGAAGGAACAATAGTCAAAATCCCCAAAAAAGGAGACTTAACAGACTGCAATAATTGGAGGGGAATTACTCTACTCTCAGTACCAAGCAAAATATTTTGTAACATCATCATGATGCCGCTTGAAAAAGGAGTAGATAAATGCCTACGAGTGGAACAAGCAGGATTCAGAAAGGGCAGAGGAATAGCTGAACACATCTTCGTACGTAACAATTTAGAACAATGCAATTAATGGCAGAGAAGTATATATGTAAATTTTGTGGACTTTGAAAAAGCTTTTGACTGCGTCCTTAGAGACAGTCTATGGAAAATTTTATGACATTATGGAATTGCAGAAAAAATACTCAACATAATTGCTCTCTTCTATAAAGACTTTTCCTGCAGTATAAAAAATTACAATACATCTTTCCCAGTAAAGACAGGTGTAAGACAGGGATGTGTTATGTCATCTCTCCTCTTCAACTTTGTGATTGATTGGATACTAAAGAACACAGTAGACAGGACATTGAGAGGCATAAGATGGACTCCATTCACCATGCTCGAGGACCTTGATTTTGGAAATGATATAGCACTCCTATCACATAATCATGAACATATACAAGAAAAAAGTAACAGACTACACAGCACAGCAGAAATGGTGGGACTGAGAATAAATATAAAGAAAACTAAGATCATGACAAGCAGTCCAAACCAACAACCAGTGACCATAAATAACCAAACTCTTGAAAATGTAGAACATTTCACATATTTTGGCAGTGTGGTGTCCCTCCCGGGAGGTACCGAAGAGGACATACAGTCACGTCTGAATAAAGCTAGAGCTGTTTTTGGAAGGATGAGGCAAATCTGGAAATTAAACAATTACTGCAGAGGATCGAAACTCCGACTCTACAAGAGCATTATTTTGCCAGTTCTTTTTTATGGAGCGGAATGCTGGAGAATGACCAAAAAGGATGCACACAAGCTGTCCACCTTCCACCACACATGTTTACGTAGAATTATCAGAATTTTCTGGCCAGATACAATCTCAAACACTAAACTACTTCAAGTCACAAACCAAGAAACTTTAGACAGCATGATAACCAAGAGGAGATGGAAATGGCTTGGCCACGTTATGAGAATGAATCCTGATATACCTGTCAAAACAGCTCTCACATGGACACCAGAGGGAAAGAGAAAACAGGGGCGCCCAAAAACAACATGGAGACGAACGATGGAAAGTGACCTGAGTGCGGCATCTTTGACATGGAAAACTGCACTGAAGATTGCACAAGACAGGAAAGCATAGAAAGTCCTCTATGAAGCCTCATGTGCCACTAGGCATAAAGAGAACTGACTGACTGACTGACTCACTCACTCTAGCATTAGATTTCCATACCGTTAAACCGTTTATAAAATGTGCACCTTATGATAACAGATTCGAGAAGCAGATGGCCAAATGGTTTTGACATAGTTACAATTCAGCAACACCAGTTACCTTTACATGTGCTAGATCTCACATGAGCTTAAACGAGATCAAGAGGTCGCTCATGTCCAATATGGAACCACAAGATCATTAGAGACCCACTCTTTAATGTTCGATACATTTAAACGAGGAGAGGAGTGGGTCAAAGTGTCCAAGCAATTTTCAGACTTGTGTAGGCTGAGTTGTGAGTGCAGGGACTGAGCAGCTAGTGCTGCAGAATCAGAAATTAAGCAAATGATTCATAACAATTCCCGCAGGTGTGATGTGATCATCTGTACAGATAGCTGTGTGTTGAGAAGCAGACGAAGTGAATGAGGGTTAATAGCAAAAGCGAAAGGACGTCGCTTGGTGCAGCAAAGCCTGACATATGATATCACAACGTCTAGATTAAGAATGGAGATGGGGGCAGTCACTGCTGCCTTCCGCTGGCATGAGAAACAGCTGTACACACATGCCGTGATAGTAACTGAGTTGCAGAACATGTTGAGAAAGGTGGAGACAGGCATGCTCCGTGCAGAATGGCAAGCATCACTTCAGAGGTCAATGGTAGTTAGCATCCTTTGAATATTTTCTCTAGGTTATGCCGGTGTGTTGGGAAATGAGCAGCCAGATAGACTGGTCAGTTCTGCACTGCTTGGTAGAGAACTGATGTAGGATAGGCTGGGTGTTGTGAGGGCTATTTGGGAGAGATTTAACAGTGCGGAGGCACAAACAGATCATTATGGTCTGGTGGGAATGGCACTGCGAGGAGTTACAAGAGGATCTTGCCGGCGCTCAATACTCAGGGGAAAGGAGAGACGGATATACAATCAGACAGTTACTGGTGTCATCGGAATTTTAACTCCTCTCTTGCTGTTGAAGATGGGGACGGAGCTCTTATGAGAGTCTCAGGAGTGCTGTGATGTCGATTCTTAATTCAACATTCAAATGGATTGACAACATAAAAGACACTGCACATCGGCGACCACCTACCGAGCGCAGAATTGCTAGCTATTCCTTTCCTTGACGGCAAAGATTATTGATATTTCTGCAATAAGTACTGCAGACAGGCAAGTGAGAAAAAAACTGATATTCCACGTGTAAGTACTGCAGATGTCGGCGTCTGTGGCTTAGGCGTTGCGCACATGCTTCGTAATGCCGGGTTGCCGGGTTCGATTCCCAACTGCTTGCCTTGCGCTGGTTTCGACAGTGCTATGGAGAAGCCGATTGTCAGAAAGCAGTAGCAAACTACTGAACGTAGAATTGCCTAGAAAAACCACAACAGCCAAAAAATGCTGGCGTTGGTTCTGCAACGTCCTGTAAAGGATACGCAACCAACTAAAGTACTGAAGACAGGCCAGTGAGGAAGCACTAATATTCCAGCTATAAGTACTGATGACAGGCAAGTGAGAAAGAATGATATCCCCTCTATAAATACTGCAGACAGGCAAGTGAGGAAGAATGATATTCCCGCTATAAATACTGCAGACAGGCAAGTGAGGAAGAATGATATCCCCTCTATAAATACTGCAGACAGGCAAGTGAGGAAGAATGATATTCCCTTTATAAATACTGCAGACAGGCAAGTGAGGAAGAATGATATTCCCTTTATAAATACTGCAGACAGGCAAGTGAGGAAGAATGATATCCCCTCTATAAATACTGCAGACAGGCAAGTGAGGAAGAATGATATTCCCTTTATAAATACTGCAGACAGGCAAGTGAGGAAGAATGATATTCCCTTTATAAATACTGCAGACAGGCAAGTGAGGAAGAATGATATTCCCTTTATAAATACTGCAGACAGGCAAGTGAGGAAGAATGATATTCCCTTTATAAATACTGCAGACAGGCAAGTGAGGAAGAATGATATTCCCTCTATAAATACTGCAGACAGGCAAGTGAGGAAGATTGATATATTTCCTCTATAAGTACTTTAGACAGGCAAGGGAGAAAGAATGAAATTCTCGCTATAAGTACTGTAGACAGGCAAGGAAGGAAGAACTAATATTTCCGCTCTAAGTATTGTAGACAGGCAAGGAAGAAAGAACTGATACTCCAGCTATACGTACTGTAGAAAGGGAGGGGAGGAAGAATGATAAACCAGCTATACGTACTGTAGAGAGGGAAGGGAGGAAGAATAATAAACCAGCTATACCTAATGTAGCCTGGCAAGGGAGGCAGAATGATAAACCAGCTATACGTACTGTAGAGAGGGAGGAGAGGAAGAATGATAAACCAGCTATACGTACTGTAGACTGGCAAGGGAGGAAGAATGATAAACCAGCTATACGTACTGTAGAAAGGGAGGGGAGGAAGAATGATAAACCAGCTATACGTACTGTAGACTGGCAAGGGAGGAAGAATGATAAACCAGCTATACGTACTGTAGAAAGGGAGGGGAGGAAGAATGATAAACCAGCTATACGTACTGTAGAGAGGGAAGGGAGGAAGAATGATAAACCAGCTATACGTAATGTAGATTGGCAAGGGAGGAAGAATGATAAACCAGCTATACGTACTGTAGAAAGGGAGGGGAGGAAGAATGATAAACCAGCTATACGTACTGTAGACTGGCAAGGGAGGCAGAATGATATTTCAAGTAGTAGCACTGCAGACAAGCAAGTGAGGAAGAACTGATATTCGTACTTTGAGCACTGCAGAGAGGCCAGTGAGGAAGAACTATCAAACAGCAGCAGAAGATTAATAACACAGTAACGATCCCTTCACACGACACTGGCGCATCGGGCAAACGAGGCTAGACTCCTATTGTTATAAACCAATTTGACCTCGATGGGTAATGTTTTCAACATCACACCGGCCACCTTTACTTCCCAGGACTTTACTTGGTACCTATTTAAGGTTGGGTCGACCTAGGTGACAAGACAACAAGACAACTGTAAACCCGGAAGTAAATCAAACTCACATCAACGTCCTGGCCGTCCGACTGGTGACCTGACAAGTCTCTATGGGTGTATCTGCCGTCTGCTGCCTCCTTATTTAGCCTAGTGTTGAGATAGTTGTCCTTCTTGGCCACTTTACTGTGATCTGTGGGAGGAAAACAATAGTCACATTGTTATCAGTTACAACAGACAGCAGTTTTGTAAACGGAGTACCTGACACATTGGCTTATACACCATGTCCATCACCCCCCTCCCCTCTTCCTTCCTTCATTATTACAAAATTTGCTAAAAATGTTGATGAAAATGCGATGTTCAAGAATTTTTTTCAATTTTAGTACTTATTTTGTAATTATTTGTTCATTTCGTCGCAGTATGTGCCATATATAGATCTACTTTCTTTGTCTTTTTGCAGTCGATACCGTTATTCGTCCAGACGGAAGGTGGATACAAGACGTTAGAGATGCCTGGGCTATGAAAGCGCGCAAGACTGGAGAGCTGACTACGGAAAGAGACTTTCAGGCGTGCCTGCTGTAACGACAGCGACATTTTGTCAAGAACCTGCGGATTGATAATCATATTTGATAAATATAATGTCATAAACATTTGTTTTTTTTGTTTTTGTTTCTTTAGCCCTCCTATCGCCGCTTGGACCTTTCTTCTTGCTGATGGTCATCATCATCATCATCCTTTGTGCTCTTTGCCGCAATCAACAGAGAGGAGATTATAATGAACTGATCAAAGTTTATGCCTGTTTGAACATCTTCCTCTGCCCTCTAACGCCCCCTCTATTGGAGCTAAGCTCTCAGCCATCTCTCGCCAGTCGTCCGTCCTATCCGCACACTACTTGCCCTCCCCAATTTTTGAACACATTTAATGGGAGGGACCAAGTCAAAATCGTAAATTGTGACAATTTCGGGTTTACGCACATAATCCACAATTATCCCTAGTAGAAAACAGCTGTACAAAAATGGTTTAAAAAGGAATATGTTTAAAGCTCCATTTCTGCATTTGCTGAAGCATGTATAACTTATTTATCGACGTTTTTTAAGCAACGTTTGTAGCTTACTAGTGACTGTGTTTGTTGCTTTCCATACAAGTGTACTGATTTGACACTAGAGACAAGTTTAGTAGGTTTTAAATTCTATTGACTTCAATACATTTATTGGTGCTACGAAAACTCCTTTGGCCTTTATATTCGTATTTCAATATCTCTGTCAGTTTCCCCATCCTTAGCTATATTATTGACTAAACAAGTGTACGAATCCACACACTGCAGTTGGATATCAACAAAAGTAGCTGCATTTCTGATTGCCTTTGTTATTCTTATTATGTTTGTCTGTCCCTTATGGATTTCTAAACCAAATTTTTACATTCTGCTGTGAAAATAGTGTGTGTGTGTGTGTGTGTGTGTGTGTGTGTGTGGTTGTACCAAGAAAGCACATATACAATATAGGCTTTTGCACGTGAACATGAGCGTGTATGCGTGTGTGTATGTTCATGAGTGTATGTCTAGCAAGTGAGCAGAGCTGGTTGTTTACCTTTATCAAAGCCGTTAGTGCGACCTCTATCAGAACCTCGTGTGTATTTGACAGGCTTAGAAGGAAACATTCTCTCCTCGTCTCCATCAGCGGCTTTTTTTCTAACATAACAAACATATTCAAGGGCATTTTAGTATTTTCCTTTAGTAAACAAAACATACATTGAGTATTATAAAACTTTACATTAATACAGCAAAGCATGCACAATTATAGTACCTTCTTTTCAAATAATAAAACACAGATTAAAATTTTAAAGCGTTTTCCATTTGCAAACGATAATATGCATTAAATTAATTAATATAACAGATCTTTCCTTCCATCAAAAATCAGCGCAGATATAATATTTTTATACTCTTTTTTTCTAATAACACCATGAAATTAGAAAAAAAAAAAATCAGTTTCCTAAATGTTTTTCTAGCCGCATCACGATCCAGTGTAATTGTTGTTGTGTTTGTTTTTTGACCTATGCTTAACTAGTTAATATCCATTTATGTAAACCATGGTGTCGCTTCATTGATTTGAGACCAGTTCTGTCCGAACTCCATAGTTGTGGATTTCAAGCTGTAGACAGACATGGATAATGAAACACCCTCTAGGGTGCCTATTTGATCATTCGCTCAGCACACTATTTCACATAAAGCGACTTGGTCGTTTGGAGGCAACAGGTTCGATTCCCGCCATGGTAACTTTAGTTTTCCATTATTATTTTCTCTTATAGGTCCTTCTATGTTTGTGCTGCTTTCTACGAGTGCTGATCAATACGTTGTCTGTTTGTTTGTTTCTAGAACTACTAATGTATTTCGAGAAGAGTCTTTACAATGATGGATGGCTGCAGTTCACTCGCAGACGGATTTTAGAATATTAATTACGTGGATATACCACAGTCTCTTCCATAGTGCAACTCTTCTACTACAGTCTGAAAGCCAAAACAACGTTTTTAAAATTTAAACCGAAATAGAGCCCTGGTAAGCCAAGAACTGCGAAGTTGTAAAACGATGCATTCACTAACCTCTAAGCAACAGAGCCAGATGATGGCAGTGTATATGCGACTGCTGACTTAAGGGATACATGTACGGTCTCTGTGTGGGTTGCGGGGCTCTATTTTGTGGAGGGGGCTGAGTAGGTGATAACTAACTGAAGTGATACATGTGAGGGCGCTGAGTAGGTGATAACTAACTGAAGTGATACATGTGAGGGCGCTGAGTAGGTGATAACTAACTGAAGTGATACATGTGAGGGCGTTGAGTAGGTGATAACTAACTGAAGTGATACATGTGAGGGCGCTGAGTAGGTGACAACTAACAGAAGCAGTACATGTGAGGGCGCTGAGTAGGTGATAACTAACTAAAGTGATACATGTGAGGTCGATGAGTAGGTGATAACTAAAGTGATACATGTGAGGGCGCTGAGTAGGTGATAACTAACTGAAGTGATACATGTGAGGGCGCTGAGTAGGTGATAACTAACTGAAGTGATACATGTGAGGGAGCTGAGTAGGTGATAACTAACTGAAGTGATACATGTGAGGGCACTGAGTAGGTGATAACTAACTGAAGTGATACATGTGAGGGCGCTGAGTAGGTGATAACTAACTAAAGTGATACATGTGAGGGCGCTGAGTAGGTGATAACTAACAGAAGCAGTACATGTGAGGGCGCTGAGTAGGTGATAACAAACTAAAGTGATACATGTGAGGTCGATGAGTAGGTGATAACTAAAGTGATACATGTAAGGGCGCTGAATAGGTGATAACTAACCGAAGTGATACATGTGAGGGCGATGATTAGGTGATAACTAACTAAAGTGATACATGTGAGGGTGCTGAGAGGTGATAACTAACTGAAGTAATACATGTGAGGGCGTTGAGTCGGTGATAAATAACTAAAGTGATACATGTGAGGGTGCTGAGTAAGTGATAATTTATATAGAAGTGATACATGTGAGGTGACTCTATAATTTGGGGTTTTTGGACGGACAAGCGGATTACGGCTCTTTGAGTCACAGTGGCATCACATGCATTTGAGACCTGTGAGCTAATCTAGCAGATGTTAACGCCGATACTAGACACAGTTAGCATTCATGTTTATGTGTGACCTGGTCCAGTGGGCGAGGCTGGTAGTTATTAACCATAGACACAGGAGACACGGCATTAGCTTGCCAGTCAGCTGGGGGACAGGTTATATCTAACAATGCGCTGCTTGCAGGTCCAGTACCAGGAATTGTTGTGGCAGATGTCATACTCATCATATCATCCACTGTGTTTTTATTTTAAATAACAAACATAAAGGCTAGCATGATATACCAAACATGCGTCACGGCATTAGCGCCGGCAATTTAATAGGGATATATATATATATATATATATATATATATATATATATATATATATATATATATATATATGTGTGTGTGTGTGTGTGTGCGTGTTTTATATATATATATATATATATATATATATATACGTATACATATAAAACATGCACGCACACACACACACGCACACACACACACACACACACACACACACATATATATATATATATATATATATATATATATATATATATATACATATATATATATATATATATATATATATATATATATATATATATATATATATATATATATATATATATATATATATATATATAAAGCAACATATAATTAATGCGTATAAAAAAAGAGAAGCAATAGTTGATATAGTTTACTAATTGAATGATAGTTACTTTGAACCCAGGGTGTCGGAAATGGATAACTAGGGGAAACAAAAACATCGATACAAGAGTTGTTTGATAAAAATCCACTCTACTGAAAAGTGAAAAAGAGTGGACAGGGTTTCACTGCAAAGAAGGAGGTTAATTGTTTAACAACAGACTGGCGTATGACGTCACAACATCCAGCAGGAGAATGGAGGTGGAAGCAGTAACAGCAACGATTTTGAGATGGCTGGAGAGTAGTACATCGCGACATGATAGTTGACTTGCAGAGCACACATCTGAAAATAGAGACTGGCGTTTAAGAGTGCTCGGAGTTGCGTAACGCTTGATAAGACATAAGAAAATTCTCGTGTCTGTGAGCAGAGATATTCTGCTGCCGACCCTCTGGGTAGTGAGCAACTTTACGATCAAGCGAACGTGGCGAAGGCTGTCTGTGATCAAGTAAGCAGTGAAACAGAACAGAGTATTCATGTCAGGAGAGAATGTTTAGGTTGGGAATGTGCAGAATGGCTTGACAATGTTCTGGCAATATGGGAGGACAATGCAAACTTGTAATCAGGTGGTAAGAGGCACCACCAGCGTGGATATTCTTCGTTGACTACTGAGGAACAGGACCAAGCACAAATAGAAATATCGTGAGTTCATTGATGTCAGTTCTCGATTCAGTCATTCATTCAGATTAAAGCTCATAGTGTTCAAATATTATAATGTTTTTTTTTTATTTGCTACTTTTCAGTCATAATTACTGGTTATTAATCACATTAAACAATTGTACACTTTCTTGTTGTCATGTCTCCATGTCTCCATGTCTCCATGTCTCCATGTCTCCATGTCTCCATGTCTCCATGTCTCCATGTCTCCATGTCTCCATGTCTCCATGTCTCCATGTCTCCATGTCTCCATGTCTCCATGTCTCCATGTCTCCGTGACTTGGCAGTTTACAACACATTGAGGGTAAGATAATCAGAGCACAGGGAAGTTGACAAATTTATGTATGTTGAATGTTGAATTAAGAACCCACATCATAGCATTCGGGATTCTCCCATAAGTAATCGGTCAGCATCGCAAGCGAAAATGTCATTGTTGGGTGTGTTGTGTAGCAAGTAGAGATGGCGGCTACCATTTGATACCGAAAAGCAAACATATACAAAGTAGGGCTAGGAAGCTGAAAGGAACACACACACACACACCGCCACATCAACACCCATACACACAGACACACATACACACAGACGCACATCTGCAGACCGTAATGATTGATTTGTGCCTCTCCACTGTTCAGTGGCATCCAACAAGGTCCTCACAGCATCTAGCTTATCATACATTTATTCATCTAGCATCTAGCTTATCATACATTTATTCATCCATTTTACCACAGACACTTACTTCACTACATTTTGGAGGCATAATCAGTCACCTTTAGACACTTGGTTAGATAGTGAAACACCAACTTCATATCACTTCGTAACAGTCATGTCCATTCGCTTTTGCTTTGAACCCCTATGCACTTCGTCAGCCTCTCAACACAGAGCCATCTGTATAGATAATCACATCGCCTGGACGGGAATTGTCATACAACATTTATTGAACACCAATACACCCCTTTCCAGTCTCTCTCTCTCTCTCTCTCTCTCTCTCTCTCTCTCTCTCTCACACACACACACAAACATTCCGCATTCCCGTGAACACTCACAGCTTGCGATCTAGCCTCGGAGACGTTGCAATGTTTTTCACTGCTTGCTCATTGTAACGGCCTCTTTTAAACTGATCCCCCTTCCTGCAGGCGACGTACTGGCCATTCTGAATGATCTGTTCCACGTCAGAGACTTGGGTGCCAGTTAGGAAGTATAACCTGGCAACAGCACAATAACATTGTTGTTTATTACACTTAATACTTCAAAACAATGTTTTCTAGTTGTTAATTTCAATAATGCGGACATAAATAATGCAGTAATCACTTGACTGATCCTGAATTTCCAGTGGAGAGATGTACTTAATACAGTCTAACTTGACGATGACAATTTGATTTTGTTTCAGCGAAAAGGATTCTTTTTTTTTAAAAACTGTATTATGTTGAGTAATGCACCTGACGGGAAACAGCGAAATATGCCTGGCAACAAATTAGCAATGTACTGTTTGTGTCCGCATTATTTTAACATTGAATGACTTAATCTCAGCATTTTTCACACATCAGCACTTTTGATTAAGGAGCCTTAGGAAGAGGTTTCGCAATGCCTAATACCATGTCCACTGACACCAACTCATCATGTCTTTGTTGGAGCCTAGGGCTCTGCCTAGATGATACACAGCTATATTATTTCATAAATCCCGGACGGCCATTAACTATTTAGTGCGAACAAAGTCCCACTTCGGAAGACTACTAACTTTGAAACTTTCTGTCTTGGTTTGGAGACATGATATTGCCCATTTTCCTGTACTACCTAAAACTGCCTGTAAGACTTTTCGGATTTATAGAATGGCGGTATCAGCGGTTTAATGTCTTATGTTTGTTTCCTTTATGGTGGATTTGCTCTGGCAGAGGTTTCAGTGGGGGTTTTCCCATCCCAGTCTACAGCCACACCCCAGCAGATTATAAGGCTCTGTAAAAGAATACCAAAACTTTGCGTTGCCGTTACGTGTTTCATAGTTATAACTACTTTGGAGGTTGAAGTAGATATCTGGAATTGATTCTCTTGGTTTCCCCTAGGTTGGCGACACCTTCAGACAGCAAACTGGAGGCTTACAACAAACAGACAGCAGCGTATCATGCTTTATAAGGTATCAAGAGGGGCGCCAACAACTGGGGAATTAGGCCACTTGACGTGGACGATCATTAACTTTAATATCTAATGTAAACAAATGGTGCAGTATAACAGCAGTAACCACAAACAAATTGAATAACCACAAACTACGACATACTTTTCCACGGTTCCCATGCAATCTTCCTTCAGCATCTCGTTGACGTGTGAAATGACGGTTGACAAGGTGTATGGGCGGATCTTCGGGGTGATCAAGACACGACGAGGACCTTTGAGGTCACCACCATTTGGCCACACCCTGCAAATGGATTACAGTTTGGTTATACAACTTGGTGGTCTGCGCGTGTGTACAGATGTGATACGTGGCACATCTACTGTACATATTGTATCATTCATGCCAGATCAAATTGTCCAGTATGTAACACATGCCACGTCTACTAGACATTTTGTATCATTAATGGCACATCAAACAGTCCGGTATATAGCACATGATACGTCTACGAGAATACTGAATCATTTATGCTACATCAATATTCTAGTATATTGCACATGCCACACTTACTAGTCACGTCTTATCATTCATGCTACATCAATTGTCTAGTATGTAGCAGACGAAACGTCTACTAGACATACTCTATCATTATGGTACATCAAAAAGTCTAGTATATAGCACATGACACGTCTACAAGGTATACTGTATCATTCATGCTATATCAAATTGTCCGGTATGTACCAACTGACACGTCTACTAGACATAATGTATCCTTATTGGTACATCAAACAGTCTAGTATGTAGCAGATGACACGTCTACTAAACATACTGTATTATTAATGGTACATACAAAAAGTCCAGTATGTGGCGCATGACACGTCTACTAAACATACTGTATCATTAATGGTACATACAAAAAGTCCAGTATGTGGCGCATGACACGTCTACTAAACATACTGTATCATTAATGGTTCATACAAAAAGTCCAGTATGTGGCGCATGACACGTCTACTAGACATACTAAATCGGGTCATACTGCATTAGAGAACATCGTGATGACTGGCGACTCGAGAAGAACAAAGGCAGATCAAGAAAAACGATGCTTGACGACCGTATGTGATGGCATGGAGGAATATTATCAGTGGTGTTGATTCAGAATACCATAGACCGAGATCTTTGGGGAGACATGAGTGTATCGCCTCATACAGGGCACATGATGATGATGCTACATCGCAGAGTCCCGGATGTAGCATATGACACATGAACTATACATATTGTACTGGCTCATACTAAACCAAACCAGCTTCACATGGCACGACTAACAAACACGAATTATTATAATAGTTTGTGTTACAACACAAAGTCAAGGTAACGAGAAGTATTTGTTGACATTAATAGACGACATAGAATACAAGTAAAAAAAAAAGTAAAGATCCCTTTTGGCGCCTTTATGCGCATCGGGCTTATGGGAAGAGCAGCCATATTTTTTACAGACCAATCGGCACTTGGTGGGTAATGGCATTACGCCGACGACATAGAATACAGGTACAAATCTCTGGACATCAGGACCGTCGAGATTTGTTGCGACACAAGGACTAGTACTGATCTCCTATAAATGGCGACAACTTCTTTCTACAATTTTTTAAACCAAAAGACAGTGAAGTTTGATAACCGAGTTCACAAATATAGGTAATTATTTTTTCGCCAGTGGGAAATTTCCCACCAGGACGCAATAACAACCAGCCTGTCTATGACAGTAAGTGTAGATGTTTATATCATTACCACCATCGCCATAATCATCATCATCAATATCCTCACGAATATCATCATAGAGTGCCTTACCAACTGCTGCTAACGATCAGCCGTCTCCACATTGTGATAGACAGTGTATCCGTTCTTGTGTTGACATCCTCCTTGCCAGGACAAACAGCTGCCACGCGTCATCTATCATTACTTCCTTTTCCTCTTGTCTCAAATTTCCAGTTTCACTCTTCTTACTATGGTCACAGCATTCCGGACAGATTCAATGTACGCCGATCTTCTCCTCAGCAGCCCCACAAGCGTCAAATGAATGATCACACTCTTTCATGTCTGACTGCTCCAAATCACAATCTCATGTCCGCCAGCCTGGACAAGGTTGAGTTCTGTTCAGCATCATGATCTCCTTCAAGATGCATCTTTCATATAATTAATGACATGACACCTGTCCAGTGCCTGGCAAGTCAAAGTAACCGCCTTGTCCACTTGATATTTTTCACATCGTTGCCATCGTTACCTCAGAGCCAGACACACAGACCTTTCGCGAGTTATTCGCGATGCCATTAATGAGAGAATGATGAGGCTCGCCCGCTGGAATTTCTCGAGCTATTTCCCTCATGATGTATGAATGTGTGAATTCTTGAGTACTCAATGATGTCAACAGCATTTTTTGCAGAAATGGTCTCCATTGTGAGGCTGCCGGTTGTAACAGCAAAGGTACCACTCATCTTCTTGATTATTTGTCTTTGTGTACTCACAGTGAAAACGCATGCATGCCGCTGGTCACGAATACCTCCGTTTAAACCAAAACATCGTCTACATCAACGTTTTGACTAAAGTGTTTGTCATGAAAGGAGCCTCTGTCAAGTGTGATAATGTCCGTGATGCTGGTCTTTGATACAGTAGTTCAATGAACCCATTCCTTTCCTAGATGAACGTCCAGAGTCTGAAAGGCACCACATCTACTGGATGGCATCCTCAGTGCCATCCATCCCAAATTTTCCTCGGTTAAATCTTTCCTTTGTAGGTTAGAAAACCATCGTGAATCAGGTGTCGAGGCTCTGATTTACCCTTGTGGTAGTAATCCTGGAAAGCGGCTGCCATTAAAACTTTGATTCGGTTGTACATTGTTGGAAAGTCCGAGAGGTATCGCACCGATGGCAGGAGGAGTCCCAGCCATTCTGGAACACACATATTACTTATTTTGGTTTCTTCGCAAAATCTTATTTGTTTGTCCCTCATCGACTATCCCACTCTGAAGTTGGACTGCAGATTACTTCGTTACCGTCTGGGTGCCCTATTATAACTGTGTTGTGAAGATGAACAGGGTTTCGGTGATTAGGCCCGGTTGGATTCCCACCCTTGAGATATATTTCCTACTGACTGTAATCCTTGAGGGTAGCAATAACCTGACCAAACATCAACATCAGCTAACGTCGTTCTCTTTTTTTCCTTTACTGTTCTCTAACCTGCTAATGTTGCTTTGTTTTAACGTATAATGTACACACACACATACGCACGCGCACGCACGAGCGGCGCGCACGCACGCACGCACGCACGCACACACACACACACACATATCCTGTCGTTGAAACAGACAGTAAAGCATCACCACTACTATGTTATTTACATGATGTGTCAGTAAGCATTAACCATATATATACTTACTTGATTAGCAATGAATGGGTGTCAGTTTTTTTAATCTTCCCCGAGCTAAGAAACGTTCTGGTGTGATACACGGGATCCACCTGTACACACAGCAAATGTTGTTATGTCATGAACTGGAAGTCATAAAAAAAAACACACACACACACAGGAACAAATATAACAGGCCATTTGACTAATTAGAGAATATCTGCCTGAACATGAATGAGTATTCTGACGCTAACCACTAGTTGTGTTTGCCAACATTTTAGCTCCCAAGGCGGAACAATTTAAATTACTTTTTTATCAGCCTCAGTGACTGAAATTTAAATAAACACAGCATAGACACTCAATCCACAAATTTTTTTTTGTAGCAGTCACACAGAGAGGGAGAGGGAGATACGTCGTTTATATATGTTTTGGTTTGAACAGTTTCGAATCAAGAGGGTAAAAAGGCCTTAATTACTGTTTCAAGATTATCACACTTATCTACTTAGTTTCATTTCTGTTGGATTTTCCGTAGAACAAATCGTTGTAGAGCCTATAACAGGCGAGATCAATCCAGTTAAAAAAAGTGTGGATTGAAGTGCGGGTTAGGTGTCCATGCTGCATTTACTCAAATTTCAATCACTGAGGCTGTCCCATCTTGATGTCAACATTGACCTCACATAACAGTTTAAAAACAGTATTTCATTGCAGGGAGTCATTCTCTTGTGGGATGCCATTTTTTCTTATTTGAAGACCACCCCGACTTTTGCCGGGCGCCCTGATACAATTATGACCATAACGGCTGAAAGGTGTCACCGGATATTGCTTGTGTGATGTCCTGGTGGGGCCAGCAAAAACAGTATTTAAATAATAATAAAAAAAAAATAAAATAAAAATTCAATCAACAATAAACCACAAATGCACTTACACTGTAATTGAAAGGTGGCGCTTTCTTGCGTTCACTTGAAGAAATTTTATCGTATCTGTAAAACAGTGGTTAAAGAAAAAGTTAATTTAACGCTTTCTCAGTTACACACTAATGGTAATAATTGTGTGACCCCGTCTCTTACAGTTCGCATATATAGGCGCTAGTGATGATGTAGCAAATAGACAAAGAACATTTCGGACTCTGACATGAGGTCGGGGTGGGGAAGAGAACAATTGTATCATGAGGTCGGGGGTGGGGAAGAGAACACTTGTATCATGAGGTCGGGGTGGGGGAAGAGAACACTTGTATCATGAGGTCGGGGTGGGGAAGAGAACACTTGTATCATGAGGTCGGGGTGGGGAAGAGAACACTTGTATCATGAGGTCGGGGTGGGGGAAGAGAACACTTGTATAAAGAGGTCGGGGTGGGGAAGAGAACAATTGTATCATGAGGTCGGGGTGGGGGAAGAGAACACTTGTATCATGAGGTCGAGGTGGGGAAGAGAACACTTGTATCATGAGGTCGGGGTGGGGAAGAAAACACTTGTATCATGAGGTCGGGGTGGGGAAGAGAACAATTGTATCATGAGGATGGGGGTGGGGAAGAGAACACTTGTATCATGAGGTCGGGGTGGGGAAGAGAACACTTGTATCATGAGGTCGGGGTGGGGAAGAGAACAATTGTATCATGAGGTCGGGGGTGGGGAAGAAGAAACACTTGTATCATGAGGTCGGGGTGGAGGAAGAGAACACTTGTATCATGAGGTCGAGGTGGGGGAAGAGAACAATTGTATCATGAGGATGGGGGTGGGGAAGAGAACACTTGTATCATGAGGTCGGGGTGGGGAAGAGAACAATTGTATCATGAGGTCGAGGTGGGGGAAGAGAACAATTGTATCATGAGGATGGGGGTGGGGAAGAGAACACTTGTATCATGAGGTCGGGGTGGGGAAGAGAACACTTGTATCATGAGGTCGGGGTGGGGAAGGGGAGAGAACAATTGTATCATGAGGTCGGGGTGGGGGAAGAGAACACTTGTATCATGAGGTCGGGGTGGGGGAAGAGAACACTTGTATCATGAGGTCGGGGTGGGGGAAGAGAACACTTGTATCATGAGGTCGGGGTGGGGAAGAGAACACTTGTATCATGAGGTCGGGGGTGGGGAAGAGAACACTTGTATCATGGGCAACGCAACGACAAACGATGTGTACAATGTGCAAGTATGAGTACAACCGACTCGTTCGCGGGCCGATCAAAGCCTACGAATTTTTCGCCGGTCGAGTTAAAATTTGTTAGGAAATTGTGTTCGTGGACCGATTGGTTCGTGGCTAGTGGCGTTTGTGACCCACGCTTCCACTGTATACGAACAGTAAAACAGGTCAATGGTCTTCTGGCGGATTACATGGCATTTAGGTTACTAATTACGCGAAATTGCGAGGTAAATTGTGAAAGTGCTCTTTTTAGCACGTCTGGTTGGAATTTCAGGTGGCGTCCGTGGCTTAGGCGTTGCTAGTCCGACTCGTAATTTTAACGTACCGCGATCGAAACCAACTGCTGGCTGGGTTGATTTTTATCTTGGCATGGGGCGTAGCAGGTCGACTCAGCCTAAAATGGGTACCAGGATGGCTGTCCTGGGGAAGAAGAGACCATAAAGTAATACTGACCACATTACCCATCCAGTGCCGATTCTTCAGTTGAAATATGGGACGCTCTTTCCATATGCTCCATGCGCCCAAGGCGTGAAAAGGGATCTTTGCTTTACTTTTATTTCAGTTGGAATTTCAAATCTACCATGAGTCTGCACGTCCCCATACTGACTCCGGTATTACCTACCGTCTGAGATCTGTCTAGACTGGCGTGTCTAGGCAACAACTGCGTGTGTGGAATCTAGACTAGGTATAACACGTTTAACAGTTCTGGTATCTTTTTACTCGTCACCCAGTTACTTATGTTTAATTATTGTATTAGATTGATTATATTCTCGTGTTTCGACAGCCAAATGCTTTTTTTAATGGACTATGACATGTAAGTAGAGATCTGTTTAACGAAATAATGCTAATAGTTTTTTTGGGGTGGGAAAAAGGGGGTGGGGGGGGGCATGAGGGACGTCAAAGGTGTTCTTTTGAAGGAATACCTCTTTCGAGGCGAGACTGTCGATAGACAGTTTTATTTTGTTCTCCTTACAAAAATGTGAAAAGCTGTGACAAGAAAACGAGGGATCACCCGCACTCAAGCTCTCCCTTTGCTTCAGGACAACGCTCCTTCTCACGAAGCAAACATGGTGCAGTTAACAGCCAACAATTTGAATACTGAAATTCTTCTTCATCGTCTATATTCACCAGATCTGGCACCTCCAGACTTTTTTTCTTTCTATTACCAAACCTTAAAAAAAAAAAAAAAACAGATACAAGGAATTCAGTTTGGCAGTGACAAAGAAGTCACAGTGAACTCTGATACCTGGTTTAGCTCGGAAAATAGGGTGTTCTTTTCCCAAGATCTTTTCAAGGTCAAGCCGAGACGACAGAATTGATTACATTTGGGAGTTGGCTATACTGAAAATGAATAAACACTATACCAAAGTTTTAGCTTTCTATGACACTTATTTCACAGTCATAGTAAGGACTCATGGATCACCCTTCGGATATATATATATATATATATAGCATGGCATGGAGGGGTGTTGGCTCATGAACTGATACCTGCTGTTGGGGATCACTAGCTGAGAAGAGGCAAGACTGCGCGCACCGGATTTCAAGTCACGTGAGAGTGATGATGATAATGATGATGTGTGATACTATCATAAAGATGCTACAGTAACATTATAAAGTCATAAATTTATGCAGCACGAGTATTAGCATAAAAATACTACAGAGTAAAATTTAAAAGGTAAAAGAGTGCAGACGAACATATGCCAACTCTTACAACTCAAGGATCGCAGTTCAAGACAGAGGAACTATAGCATACACGCCAGCCACCTGCAGAGAGAAGCACCAAACTTAGATATAAGTATATCCATTGATTTGGACTCTAATTTTGCTGATAATATCCGTCGCATTGCAAGTACTCGATCTAATGCAGAGCCACACAGGTGTCGGTCGTTCGTTCGGTTCTTTGTACTCTTGCCATATGAGCCAGTTAGACTGGATGGAGATTACATCTGTCGATTGAGGTTACTTCCGACAGGAATGGCAAAAAGTCGTTCGTTGTTCACACTTCAGTGTCTGTCTTCGATGGTGCACTTGGTGAACCCAGCTGATCGTTGTAAGACTGATGATAAATCTGTACATCCGTTGTTGTACTGGTTACAACAGCTCATTAGGGCTTCTATGTTGTGTTTGCAACATACACCAAACACAAGCGTTTTGTCACATGTGCCTAAAAGAACAGATAGATAGACAGATAGAACGTGCTAACGGATTTTGTTACAGAGGGGCCCTCAAATTAGGCACCTAGGTCTGTTTTAAATGTGGCTTTTCAAAACACCCATCTTTCCATAGCAATTTCATTTGATCTATAAAGCATATCATTTCATATACTTGTAATTAGTTCACATACATATTGCGGCGCTGTGGCTTAGACGTTGCGAGTCCGACTGGTAATCCAAGGTACCGCGATTGTAACCCACTGCGGACTGCGTGGACTTTTATCGTATTATGGGACGTCGCCGGTCGACCCAGCCTCAATTGGGTACCTGGATGGCTGTCCTGGGGAAGTAAAGACTGCCGGCGTAATGCTGACCACATTACCCACCGAGTGTCGATTGGTCTGTAAAAATATGGGTGCTCTTCCCATATGCCTGATGCGCATAAAAGGCGTGAAAAGGGATCTTTTTTTTACATGCATTAGTATATAAATACCAAGTAAAATAAACAAGTGCTAGAGTGGTACATACATACATACATGCATACATGCATACAGTTTAGATAAATTGATAGATAGACAGACAGACAGACCGCAGATAGATAGATAGATAGATAGATAGATAGATAGATAGATAGATAGATAGATAGATAGATAGATAGATAGATAGATAGATAGATAGATAGATAGATAGATAGATAGATAGATAGATAGATAGATAGATAGATAGATAGACAGATAGACAGAGAGACAGACAGAGAGACAGACAGACAGACAGACAGACAGACAGACAGACAAGACAGACAGACAGACAGACAGACAGACAGACAGACAGACAGACAGATAGACAGATAGACAGATAGACAGATAGATAGATAGATAGATAGATAGATAGATAGATAGATAGATAGATAGATAGATAGACAGATAGATAGATAGATAGATAGATAGATAGATAGATAGATAGACAGATAGACAGATAGACAGATAGACAGATAGATAGATAGATAGATAGATAGATAGATAGATAGATAGATAGATAGATAGATAGATAGATAGATAGATAGATAGATAGATAGATAGAGAGAGATAGATAGACAGATAGATAGATAGATAGATAGATAGATAGATAGATAGATAGATAGATAGACACATAGATAGATACATAGATTAGATAGATAGACAACATAGATATAGATAGATAGATAGATAGATAGACAGGACAGATAGACAGATAGATAGACAGATAGACAGACAGACAGATAGATAGAACAGACAGATAGATAGATAGATAGATAGATAGATAGATAGATAGATAGATAGATAGATAGATAGATAGATAAGATAGATAGATAGATAGATAGATAGAATAGATAGATAGATAGATAGATAGATAGATTAGATAGAAGATAGATAGATAGATAGATAGATAGATAGATAGAATAGATAGATAGATAGATAGATAGATAGATAGATAGATAGATAGATAGATAGATAGATATATTAGATAGATACACACATAGATATATTAGATAGATAGATAGATAGACAGACAGACAGACAGACAGACAGACAGACAGACAGACAGACAGACAGACAGACAGACAGACAGACAGACAGACAGACAGACAGACAGACAGACAGACAGACAGACAGATAGATAGATAGATAGATAGATAGATAGATAGATAGATAG